GCCGACCCCACCGTGGTACTTCCTTGTCTTCCGGGGCTGGTCAACCCCCAAAGCTCACGGATCCGCTGTCTCCATGGAAGCAGGCACCTCACGCCGTTGGGTTTCACCCTCATTTCCACCCTCTCCTGAGCACCTGGCCCTTAGACGGGGGGGCTGTTCTCTTCAGCTGAGCCGGGCAGGCCCCCGTTGGGAGACTTTCCCGGGCTCCTGGGGCCTTGCTGTCTCTCCAGGTTTTCGGCTGGGCCGGGGGTGGGCACAGGAGTCGCTCAAAACAGAACATTTTGCCAGGCCGGGAAGACGGCCGTCCATTGCGCTCAGTGGGGACGGTTCTGGAACCCAACATTTGCTCCGGGCCCCGGCTCGAAAACTGATCCTGGCCCAAACATCCCGCAACACCCATGATGCCAGCGAGCTCCAGGCTTCCGTCCTTGGTGAACTCCCACGGGAACAGTCGGCGCAGGGGTAATATACCTGCCCGGGCATGGGTGTGTCACCGGATGGGGCTACAGTCCAGGGGCGGGGCCAAAGCATGTGGGTGGGGCCATGCTGGGGCCCATGTGCCGAGGGCTATAGGGGGCTGGTTAATGGATGCTGAGGGGTTGAGGGGAAGGTGTGAGGGGGCCCTGCTTGATCGCAATCTCTCAGCACTGAGATGTAGCTGCTTCCGGGGAGGGGCAGCTGGGGAACCTTCTAGGGTAACCCTGAGATAGGACCTGGCTCCTGGACTGGGCTGCGAACGTGGGGGAGGCTGCTGGTGGACAGCCCACCCTGGGAGGTAGCCACGTGGGCTCTGTGGGTGGCGGCAAAAGCACCCCTCACTACCCAACCACAGCCCCTATGTCATCAGTCCCGTCCTACTCCTTTTCAGCACTGTCCCTGGGACCTGCCTCCTCCACCTCCTATCACAGCATCCCTGCCCAGCTCCCTCCATTGCTCCCCCCGCCCGTGGGATGTAAGAGATGCAGAAGAGAGAGGGGTGGAGATCAACCGCTGACTGCCCATGGGCCTGAGTCTGCAGCGAGCCTGAGCCCATCGCTCGGAGAGGAGGGAGCTGCTCTGAATATGCCTCTAGGGGGCAGGACTGGGGCATCCAAACCACAGGCAGCTGGGCTTGGATCGCTGGGAGGTGGGCAGTCCGTGTGTGTGGGGGGGTGGTTTCCGGGTAGCCCCTTCAACAGCTCCACAGCACCCTCTGCATGTGATTCTGAAGGGGGATGCTGCACCCCCACGACGGTGATCAAACATAAAACAGTTTTGCAGCAAGTTGTGGCCCTGGGCTCCAGGCCGCGTGTGTGGGTGGGATGCTGGGGAGAACGGAGGAGCCGTGTCGTGTGTGGAGTGGGGTGCAAGGAGTTGGCCAAACACCTCCCAAAGCAGGGGAAATGCTCATTAGGCCTGGGTTTTCCCTGGGGACCTGGGACTTTGCCGTGAACTGGGCCTTGGAGGGGAATCGGGTGCAGAGAAGAGCCACAGAAAGGAACCGGGGGCTGGAATGAAAACTTTCCAGTGGGAGACGAAGCTGTTTAGTGTCTCCAAGAGAATCCGAGAAACGTGGGGCTGGAAGGGACTTGGAGAGGGCACCAAGTCCCATCTCCGGCACTGAGGCAGGGCCAAGGAAACCTAGATCAGCCCTGACCGGTGTGTGTCCGACCTGCTGTCAAAAACCTCCAATGACGGGGATCCCCCAACCTCCCTGGGGAGCCTGGCCCAGAGCTCAGCTACCCTGAGAGTTCGAAAAGTGTCTCCTAATACCCAGCCCCTTGCTGCAAGCTAAGCTGCTTCCTTCTGGTCCGCCCTTCGCTGGACACGGAGCACACCCGCTCGCTGGCCTCTTTAGAGCGACCCTTGTTCTCCCGTCCCAGCTCAGCCTTCTCTTCCCCAGGCCGAACCCAGCCAGGACCTGCAACCGTCCCTCGCCGGCACACGAATGGGTTTGTCCTCGGACATGGAGGAAGGGAATGGGCATAGAAGAGTTTTATGTCCACACTGAGCCCTGCCAGGTCCTCCCCACAACCCACAAGCCCCCTGACCCTCCGAGAGCTGGGGACAGAACCCAGGAGTCCCTGCCTCTCAGCTCTCCTGCTCTAACCCACCAGCCCCCATTCCCCTCCCAGAGCTGGGGAGAGAACCCAGGAGTCCTGGCTCCTAACCCCAACCACTAGACACCCCCCCCTCCCGCTCCTGGACCTGGGGATAAAACCCAGGACTCCTGGCTTCCTGGCTCCCTGGCCTCCTGGGGGGGAGGGATAGCTCAGTGGTTTGAGCATTGGCCTGCTAAACCCAGGGTTGTGAGTTCAATCCTTGAGGGGGCCATTTAGGGATCTGGGGCAAAAATTGGGGATTGGTCCTGCTTTGAGTAGGGGGTTGGGCTAGATGACCTCCTGAGGTCCCTTCCAACCCTGATAGTCTATGATTCTATGATTAGCCCCTGCTCTAATCACTAGACTTCACTTCCTTCCCAAAGCAAAGGAGAGAACCCAGGAGTTCTGGCTCCCCTCCCAGCCCCACCTACCATTGGCTGTTCATATCCTCCCCTGTGGCTCCCCCCCCGCCCTGGGAGCCAATCTGCTTCGGGGTCAGAGCCCGGCTGCTGGGCAGGAGGAAATAGAAACCAGCTGAGCTTTTACTTTCGTTTCCCCAGGATTAAATCTTGGACACGGGCAGAGCGAGCTGTGGGACAGGTAACGGGGGGCCAGCGACAGTTCCCGGGGGGCAGAATCGCCCCCTCCAGTCTATTTCCCCCCCATCCCCAGAGAACCCCCCTGAGATTGGAGTGGCTGGTTTCAAACCAGCGGCAGCTGGGGGGCACCGAAGGCAAACCCCGGCCACCCCCCGGCCTCTGGCTGGGGCCCGGCCCCCAACCCCCCAGCCCAGCCCCCCGGGTCCCCACGCAGCGAGCCGCGCCCGGCCGCCAAGCCCGAGAGCTGCTTGAAAAGTCCCGAGCGGCTGAAAATCCCGCTGCCCCCGGGGCACTTGCGCTGCGGTGGGGAGGGGGGCGCCGATGGCAGCGGGCTCTCCCCAGGTGCGACGGCTGGGGACGCGCGGTTCCCTCCTGCAGCAGAGACGGAAATGAGCGGTGTTTAATGCCAGGGAGCCCGGACTCCTGGGTTCTCTCCCCAGCTCTGGGTCGGGAGTGGGGTCTAGTGGGTTAGAGCAGAGGGGGCTGGGAGCCAGGACTCCTGGGTTCTTTCCCCATTTCCGGGAGGGGAGTGGGGGCTAGTGGTTTTGTGCAGGGGGGACTGGGAGCCCAGACTCCTGGGTTCTCTCCCCAGGTCTGGGAGGGGAATGGGTCTCGTGGGTTCGAGCAGGGAGCCAGGACTCCTGGGTTCTCTCCCCATCGCTAGAGGGAAGGAGTGGGTTAGAATGGGGAGGGGAGCTGGACCCCCTGGGTTCTGGGTGCAGTGGAATGAGGTGCTGGCCAAAGAGAGTTTGCTCATTTCTTGAGGTGCAAGTGGGGATGGGGGAGTGCCCAGTACACAAGGAGAGCCCTGGGGAACTCAGCACTCAAGAATTGGGCTTTGGACATGGAGTGTCCCTGCCCTGCTCTGTGCCTCAGTTTCCCTCTCTGCCAGCCCTTCTGTTTGAGCTCAGGGGGTGTGAGAGGGTTAATGCATTGGTGTCCTGTTGTCTCAGTTCTCCAACAGAGTTTGGCTTTAGTCCCAGCCCAGGAGGAGGGGAGATTGGTCAACCAAAGCCCAGCCTGTCACTCGCTGCATTATGGGAAATGCAAATAATAAAGGGTAAGCACTCCAGTCCCACCCAATTCAGGTGTAACCCATTCCAGAGGTGGGGCTGGAGCCCATGAATCCTGGCTCACAGCCCCCCCCACTCGACTCCAATCCTCTGCCCCCTGCCCCCCCAGCTGGGATAGAACCCAGGAGTCCTGGTTCACAGGCCCCCTGCTGTGCGTTTCCCAGGCCGATCCCACCCCCCTCCTCGAAGTCAGCTCCAGAGGGGATGGTGGATCGACTCCAGGAGGACGTCACCTGCTCCATCTGCCTGGACGTCTTGGAGGACCCCGTCTCCATCGTGTGTGGCCACAACTTCTGCCGGGGCTGCCTCGCGGCTCACTGGAGTGGGGTCTCGGCTTGGGGGTACCAGTGCCCCGAGTGCCGGGCTCCCTGCTCCAGGAACCAGATGACCCCAGACACACGTCTGAAAAGCCTGGTGGAGAAAATCAGAGACCTGCCACGTGAAGGGGACGTTGACAGGAACAGGGACAGCGAGCCCTGAGGTGAGTGAAGCCCTCCTGAGGCTGGTCCAGAGATGCAGCCACCTCTGGGGCGGGGGGGGGGGGAACGGCTGCATGTTTGCTCCCTGCAGCACGGTGTCCCCTATCTCCACGCTGGTGCCTTGGGGTCAGGGGGAAGGCCGGCTAAGGGGATTCCTGTGTGCTTTTAGCAACCGCTCAGGTCTCTGGGCTGCTAAGGGGGGAGCTGGGCACTCAGGGCTCAGACCTGCTGATAAGAAATTAACCCCCTAGCTAACAGGCTGTGACTCCAGACAGGGGGCCCCGGTGAGGGGACATGGACTAGCTGGAAGTGGGGGGGAGAGGATGGGACATGGGGCCTTTCCCCTCTTGGGGGCACTGGCTTGGATATGGCCCATGGTGGGACTGGCTGGTCCAGGGGGTGGGAATGGGGCTCTGATCCGGGGGAGAAGGGACTCACCAGCTCAGGGGTGGGGTCCCAGCTCTGATCCTGCTCTGTCCCTGCAGCCGGGGCCGGGGTCTCGGCCAGAGGCGGGGCGCCCAGTGCAATTGTTGTGTGTGGATGAGAAAGGGGGCCTGACCTTGGACGAGGAGGCCCTGAGCCTCTGCCTGGAGCAGGGTGGGGTGGGGGACGCCCCCGTCTGCCTGGTGTCCATCATCGGGGAGCAGCGCCGGGGCAAATCCTTCCTGCTGAACTACCTGCTGCGTCGTCTCCGGAGCCTGGTGAGTGCAGCCCTGATCCCCTCCCAGAACCAAGGAGATAACCCCGGAGTCCTGGCTCCCGGCCCCCCGCTCTAACTCACTAGACTCCACTCCCCTTCCAGAGCTGGGGATAGAACCCAGGAGTCCTGGCTCCCAGCCCCCCCTGCTCTAACCCACCAGCTCCCACTTCCCTCCCAGAGCTGGGGACAGAACCCAGGAGTCCTGGCTCCTGCCCCCCCTGCTCTAACTCACTAGACTCCTACTTCCTGTGCCAGAATTGGGGACAGAACCCAGGAGTCCTGGCTCCCAGCCCCACAGCTCTAACCCACTAGACCGTCTAGACCCTTGTCTGTGTGTCTGTCTCAGCCTGGGTCTGCCTGTCCATCATCTTTCCAGTGCGCTGGTCCCCATGCTACTTGCCTGCTAATAAAATACTCACAGTCCCCCCCCCCCCGCACTAATTGCGCCACTCTCTATGTGTTCTTCTCTCCCCCCCCCAAGGATGTGAAGGATGGATCCTGGATGGGCCGGGAGGTGGAGCCCCTGGAGGGCTTCGAGTGGCGAGTTGGTGCCTGCAGTGTCACCAAGGGGGTGTGGGCGTGGAGTCAGCCCTTCTGGGTCCCCTCCGAGGAGGGGCAGGTGAGTGGGAAGAGGGGTGAGGAAATGGGGTGGGGGGATGAGTGACTGCAGCAGATCTCTACTTGGGGAAGCAGAGCAGACAGAGCTTGGGTGGGCTCGGAGACCTGGTAGTCAGGGAACACAGAGCCCCCCAGGGGCTGGGTCTCACTGGGTGCTGGGGCATGTGGGGGGCAGAGTGGGGAGCTGGCATGAGACACTGGCCCGTAGCTCCCCCCTGCTCCCCAGGTGGCCGTGCTGCTGGTCGACACTGAGGGCTCCATGGACATCGCCAGAGACACGGAGACCAGCGTGAAACTCTCCGCCCTCTCCATGCTGCTTGGCTCCTACCAGGTAGGCAGTAGGGGGCGCTGTGCTGCAGGGAGCGGGGCAGGGCTCAGCAGGGGGCGCTCTCCCATTGCAGCCAGGGCCTGCCCCAGGTTGGCACTAGGGGGCGCTGTGCTGCGGGGAGAGGGTCGTGCTGGTTTCTGTCTCTAACCCTGTCCTCTCTGATGACTTGCAGATCCTGAATGTTTCCAGCCAGCTAAAGGACCCCGATCTAGAATATCTGGAGGTGAAGGGGGAGGAGGGCAGGACGTGGTGCCATTCTCCTAGAGCCCCAACGGGGTACTCTGCCCATTCTGCAGCTGGGGAAACTGAGGCCCAGAGAGAATCAATGACTTGCCTGAGGTCACATGGGGAGTCTGTGGAACAGCCAGAGATAGAAGCCAGGAGTCCTGGCTTCCAGCCCCCACTTCTGCTGTTTTAACCACTAGACCCCACTCCCCTCCCAGAGCTGGGGATGGAACCCAGGAGTCCTGGGGCCGTATCCAGCAGGGCCCAGCTTCTGTGCTGCTCCAGGGTCTGGAATTCGCCAGGACTCTGGGAACATCTCAATATTTGGCATCTTGATCTATTCTGCTCCTGCCGTCGGTGGGCACAGGGGGCAAATAGAGCCCCGGGCAGGGGGTAGGGGAACCTTGACTTGCAGTTCTGCTCTTTGGCCACTAGGTGTCTCTGCAGCAGAGGGGGAAAGCCCTGGGACCCGGGGAACAGACCCAGACCAAGCTGGACCTGCAGCTTTATGGGTGGGTGGGTGGGTGGGTGGCAGGGGGGTGTTTGTTGGTAGGATTTCCACCCCCACCTGCCACCAGGGCACACGCTGCCTCCCTGCCCCAGAGATCTCAGTCCCCTGCTCTCTCTGCTCTGCAGATGTTTCTGCACGTGGCCGAAGAGGTGGGAAAGGAATACGGGCTGGAGTCCATTCAGGTGAGACGACTTTCCCCCCCCATTCCCGCACCCTGCCCCATGCAATCCCCTTGCCCCACTGCATGGGTTGCTCCTGCCCCAGCCACTCCCTGCCCCACACCCGAGGGGTTCAGCCTTCCCCTCCTGAGATTGTCCTGTCTCCCCTGCAGCACCTAGACCTGCTGGTGCGGGATTGGAGCAACTCCTTGGTCCTTGGAACGGACGGTGGGAAGGAGCATCTGAGAGACGTCCGACAGGTGAGTGTGGGGCTTGACATGGCGCCTTTGCCCTCTGGGGGGTGCTGGCTCTGATCTGGGCCCAGGGCAAGGGCCTGGCTGGCTCAGGGGAGCAGGGAATGGGTCCTGGAGTATTTCCCTTCATTGATATCTCACTTTGCTGATTCCCCCGGCTCTGGCAGATGCTGGCCGTGAGGTCCCCTTGCAAACACCCCAAGGCCCTGGAAGCTCTGAACAGAAGCAAAACCCGCTGTTACCTGATGCCCTTCCCTGGCAAGCGGATCATGACTGGAAGCGAGGGATGCGTGAGAGGTAACGGACTCGGGACAGCAGCTCTGAGCCTGCACGACGGGGCGTCTCCGTCTCTGCCGGGGAATGGGCCGTGGGGGGATGCTCTGGCTTTCGGTTCATTGCCATGTCCCTCCCCTTCGCAGACATGGATGAGGATTTCCGGGAGAGCCTGAGGGACTACGTCACCGGCTTGGTGGCCTCAGCCGGTCACAACATCTGGAGGGACCGGCACGGGGTGCTGGTGACCGGGTCACAGCTCGCTGCCAAGATAAAGGTGGGGATTGGCCAGCTGGGCATGGGGTCTCAGTAGTTGACGCTCTCCCCTGGCAGTCAGCGCTGGTCCCAATACCCCATGGTGGCACTAGGGGGCGCTGTGTTGCGGGGAGCGGGGTGGGGGCTTCGCCCTTTTTGCTGAACTTTTTCTTAATTAAGAATGAGGGTTGTATTTATAGCCTAGCAGAATCCCAGCTTGGATGATTCTACCGAGCCTTCCTAAATCATCCAGGGAAGTTCTTCATTTCCCCCGCCAAACTGATTCCCACCGTTGTCTTATGGCCGTTCCCCAGCTGCCCTGCCCCAGAGGTGGCTGCATCTCAGCGCCGGGCGAGCCATCCCCATGTTCCCACTTTTCTAAGCCCTGTGGAATCTGTATTGTGATTTCTTGTGCTTTCTTTGCAGGAATTCTCTGATCTGATGAAGAAACGTTGCTTCGGCTTCTCCTCTCCCACTCAGGTACCTTCTCTGACCTGATCAAGGGGTGTGTCCCTCCTCCTGAATTCACTTCTGATGCAAAACTGTAGCCTACTTTTGTCTTATTACTGCTGCCTTGCCCAAAAGGTGGCTGCATCTCATGTCGGGCAAGCCATCCCCGTGTCGTGTTGCTGTGAGGCTATTCCCCAGCTGCTCCTTCCCCTCCCACAGTGTTCTTGTCAGCAAGTTAAAGAAGTATGGGCTGGATGAATGGACTATAAGGTGGATAGAAAGCTGGCTAGATTGTTGGGCCCAACGGGTAGTGATCCATGGCTCCATGTCTAATTGTCAGCCGGTATCAAGTGGAGTGCCCCAAGGGTCGGTCTGGGGCTGATTTTGTTCAATATCTTCATTAATGATCTGGACGATGGGATGGATTGCACCCTCAGCAAGTTTGCAGATGACACTAAACTGGGAGGAGTGGTAGATACACTGGAGGGTAGGGATAGGATCCAGAGGGCTCTAGGAAAATTAGAGGATTGGGCCAAAAGAAATCTGGTGAGGTTCAACAAGGGCAAGTGCAGAGTCCTGCACTTAGGATGGAAGAATCCAATGCACCGCTACAGACTAGGGACCGAATGGCTCGGCAGCAGTTCTGCAGAAAAGGACCTAGGGGTGACAGTGGACGAGAAGCTGGATATGAGTCAACAGTGTGCCCTTGTTGCCAAGAAGGCCAATGGCATTTTGGGCTGTATAAGTAGGGGCATTGCCAGCAGATCGAGGGACGTGATTGTTCCACTCTATTCGACATTGGTGAGGCGTCATCTGGAGTACTGTGTCCAGTTTTGGGCCCCACACTACAAGAAGGATGTGGAAAAATTGGAAAACGTCCAGCAGAGGGCAACATAAATGATTAGGGGGCTGGAGCACATGACGTATGAGGAGAGGCTGAGGGAACTGGGATTGTTTAACCTGCGGAGGAGAAGAATGAGGGGGGATTTCATAGCTGCTTTCAGCTACCTGAGAGGCGGTTCCAAAGAGGATGGATCTAGACTGTTCTCAGTGGTAGCTGATGACAGAACGAGGAGTAATGGTCTCAAGTTGCAGTTGGGGAGGTTTAGGTTGGATATTAGGAAAAGCTTTTATCTAGGAGGGTGGTGAAACACTGGAATGCGTTACCTAGGGAGGTGGTGGAATCTTCTTCCTTAGAAGTTTTTAAGGCCCAGCTTGACAAAGCCCTGTCTGGGATGATTTAGTTGAGGATTGGTCCTGCTTTGAGCAGGGGGTTGGACTAGATGACCTCCTGAGGTCCCTTCCAACCCTGATAGTCTGTGATTCTGCCCCAACCCCAGAAGTGGCTGCATCTCAGCACTGGGTGAGCCCATCCCTATGCAGAGTTGTGTGTGGCTGTTGCCATATGCTCCTCCCCAGAGGTGGCTTCATCTCAGGAGTGTGTTGACATTTGTTGGAAAATGTTTGGTTTTTTCCCCCCGCAGAGAAATTTGAGTTTCTGGCGAAATATGAAAAGCTGAAATACTTGATGTGGTGTCTCATGGGAATTATAGTTTGGCTCTGCATGCTCCCTTTTCTCCCCATAAATCAGCTCTCTGGTCGGACTGCAGCTCCCATGATGCACCATAGAGGAGGGAGATGGTGTATCATGGGGCTTGTAGTTTGGGTGCCTGGCTTCAGGCTGAGCTGCCGTGGTGGCTCATGGGAGTTGTAGTTTCACACTGGCTAGTGGCATCGCTCTGTTACATGAGGTTGCTGCAGTTGCTAGGTGGAGACAGGGCCCCATAAACTGCGGCTCACCCCGGCCTTGTCCTCCCTGTGCAGATGGCCATCACCTTCCACAACCAGAGAGTCCTGGACAGGGCCAGCGCAGACCACGCTGTGTTTTTGAGGGAGAAGGTGAGTCTGTGCGGCAGGGGCCCCTGTGCCCGAGCCAGGGGAACCCAGGGAACTGTCCTGGCCAACCCCACTGGCTGTGGGCTTTGGGGTAGGAGACAGGACCTCGTATCTCCAGCTCCCAGGATGACTGTAGAGATGGGAGGCTCAAACTCCTGCACCGGGGTTGGGAGTGGGGGAGGGAATAAGTTTGCCCTGTGGCCAGCTGCAGTGGTGGAGGCATCATGGCCCAGGTGGCTCACGGGCTGGACCAGGAGTCAAAACTCCTGGCTTTTGTTTATGGTGCTGTCGCTGACTCCCCTGGGCTCATCACGGAGACTCTCTGGGCCTCGGTTTCCCCATCTATCAAAGTGGGAGAATGATCTTGCCCTTGGGTGTTTTAGCCTGTGAGCTTTTTGGGGCAGGGATGGCCTCTCACTGAGTTTGTGTGCCGCGCGAGGGGAGGGCCCCCATCTCGGTCCAGCATGAAGGGGCCCCCCCATCTCAGTCCTGGTTTGTGCCGTACCCGGCACGAAGGGGGAGCCCCCATCTCAGTTGGGAGGGTGGGGTCCATGCAGCGCTTGCCCCTTCTAACGCTCTTGGCCGTCTCCTCTCCCGGCGGGCGCAGGACGGCGACTCCCGGAACATGGTCGCCTGCCTGAAGGTGCGGCCGAGCAAGATGGCGGAGCTGTTCGCGGAGCGGCGCGGGCAGTTGCTCTGGCGGTGCCGGACGGACATGCGGGAGCCGGCGCTGGAGAAAGAGGCCCAGCTGACGGAGCTGGAGGAGGAGCTGACAGGGGAGGCCGAGACCTTCCTGGAGAGCTACGGGAAGCGCTTCAAGAAATTCGCCATTTTGGCGGGCGTGGGCGCGGGGTGCTGGTCCTGGGACCGGTGGGGGGCGCTGCCGGTGCCGGGATTGCCGCCGCTGTCATCGCTGCGGAGGCGGCTGGGGTGCTCGCCCTGGCCGAGGTGGTGGCCATTGGGGTTGGGGCGGGCGCCGTGGCCGGGGTTGTCGTGGGCGGGGGCGTGGGCGGGGGAGTTGGTGGGAACATCGCCCAGAAGGATAGGCAGAGGGCCAAGGCTCCTGGCGGCGGGAGGGAGGAGGAGGACGGCACTGAGGATCTATCCGACGAGAAACCCCTGATCTGATCGGTGCCCCCCCACAATCTGGGGCTGACGAATGGGGTGACAGGACAGCAGCGTGGCCTGACACGTCCCCCACAAGCCACCCCAGAGCAGGGAGCCGTTGCCCCCAGATTCTAAGAAGGGACGTTTAGATCCTCTCGTCTGATCTGCTGTGCCACCCAGGCTGGAGAATGCCGCCCACTTCCCCCTGCCTTGGGCCCAATATCTCCTTTGCACTAAATCATTTCCCAGAAAGGCGGCCAGTCCGGCTCGGAATCCGGAAAAGACGGAGACCCCCACCGCTTTCCTGCTGGTGAATCACCCGCGCTGTGAGAAATCGGGTGCCTCGTTTCCAACTGGAGTTTCTCGCTTTAACTTGCAGCCCTCGGTTCTCGCTCTGCCTTCCTCCAACGTTGCAGGGCCACTCCGGCTGCAACACAAAGCACCTGGAAACGCCCTGCCGATGGTCCTGTCCCGAACCCCCCACCAGCGGGGGGGTGACCATGGGCACCTGGCTTAGTTCCTACAGGGGCAGCCGTGTTGTCTGGTCCTAGAGGATAGATATCCAGCCACTCCTATGAGCGGGAAGACAGGTCCAGGGGAGCGGACACAGAAAGACGTGGATTGGGTTTCCTGCTCTATCATGGGCTTCCTCTGTGACTTTGGCCAAGTCACTTAGTTTCTCTGTGCCTCAGTTTCCCATCTGTATACTGAGGATAATAATGCATTGAAAGATGGTGAGGGGTTTGAGCTCCACTGAGAGAAAGCGCTATCCAAGAAACAGGCATCATTATGTATTCTGCGGGAGGGCTATAAAAACATCCAAAGCTAAAGGATTTTCTGTTCAACACCCATGAACGCACGCCGAGCAGGGGACACCATCTGACCAACTCCACAGGAAGGCTCAGCTCCCACCCTTCGGCGCTGGTGAAAAGCCAGGAGTTGGGCTTGAGGATTTCCAACCAATGAGGGCTCGGGCTAGGGGTACTCTCCAGCTGTTCCATGCCCAGGCCAGCCTCAGCTGGCGCCTACGATCCCGTAGGCCGCTCTAGCGTGAGGTACGGGGTCAGCTCCATCATGGCTTTGCCTTGGTGAGCCGGGAGCGCCCCTTCCCATCACAGATTCCAAGGCCTGGATAACAGGGGCCATGACCCTGCACTGAATTAATCCCTGCTTGAACTGGAGTGATCTGTTAGAGAAACTTCCCATCTCTATTTAAAAATGGACAATGATGGCGAATCTGCCACGACCCTTGGTAAATTATTCCAATTGTACTGACTGTTTAAAGTTTCTGCCTTACTTCCAGTCTGAATTTTGTTGAGCTTCAACGTCCAGCCATTGGAGCATGTTAGACCTTTCTGTGCTAGACTGAAGGACCCATTATGAAATATTTGTTCCCCAGGTGGGTACTTATGGACTGGGACCCAGTCACCCCTTAACCTGCTCTTTGAGTCCTATCTTCCTAAGAACTCCTTGGAAAGCTAATATCAGGGCTGCAGGTTTTCAAAGGCTGCACCTCTTGGTACCTAAGAAGAGAAAGCAGAAGTCACTTGAGACTGTGGTCTGCAAAGTGTCCAATGGGAGAAGTTAGGTTTCTGCTGGAAGGTGGCCGGTCAACAGGTCTTGGGTGCAGGACAGTCTCAGAGCAATGGAGGCATTTAAGCAATTTCCTTTGTGCCCAACAGGAGGAAAGATATTTGGGGTACTGTGTTAGGGTGTCAATGTACGGATGAGTGCGTGCGTGAGTCTGTGAGCACCTGTAAATGACTGT